CTCTCAAAAGGAGATACACAAGTGACCATATGAAAAAATGTTCAACATCACTAATCATCAGAGAAATGCAAATCAAAACCACACTGAGATACCATCTCACATCAGTCAGAATAACGATTATTAAAAAGTCAAAAATAACAGATGCTGGCAATGCTATGGAGAAAAGCGAATGTTTATACACTGTTGGTGGGAATGCAAACTAGTTCAGCCACTGTGGAAAGCAGTTTGGCAATTTCTTGAAGAACTTAAAACAGAACTCCCATTTGACCCAGCAACCCCACTACTGTGTATATATCCAAAAGAAAATAACTCATTCTATCAAAAAGACATATGCCCTCATACTTTCATTATAGTGCTATTCACAATAGTGAAGACATGGAATCAACCTAGGTGCCCTTCAACAGTGGATTGGACAAAGAAAACGTGGCATGGAATACCACATAGCCATCAAAAGAATGAAATTATGTCCTTTGCAGCAACATGGATAGAGCCGGAGGCCATTATCCTAATCAAATTAATGCAAGAATAGCAATTAAATACCATGTATTCTCACTTATAAGTGGGCACTAAACATTGAATAGACATAGATGTAAAGATGAGAACAACAGACACTGGGGACTATTAGATGGGGGAGGATGGGAGGATAGCAAGGGCTGAAAAACCACCTATTGGGTATTATGCTCACTACCTGGGTGACAGGACCCCAGACCCCAGCATCATGAAATATACCCATGTAACAAATTTGCACATGTACCCCTTCATTGCTAATAAAAGTTGAAATTATTTAAAATAAATAAAAATACCTTCAGTCATTCCCAGTGCCTGGCCCATACAGAGGCACAGCTCCCTGTGTATTGACACTCTATGGGATCTTCTCACCATCAGCATGACCTTGACCTATACAGGAATGATGCCAAGTAGAAAAGAGGTTGCCTCTCTGGGTGTGTGTCTGCAAGAAGAGCCTGTTTCCCAATGTTGAGTAAGTTCCTCCAGGCCAGTCCTGTCCGTCTGCGCACACTTGCACTAGCTCTTTCCCCAGGTGCACTCACACCTTCTTCCCTGTGGGTGAGGGGCTCAAATGACCCTCTTCCTGGTGAGGTTTCCTGGTGAGGTCCACTGTCCCTAAAAGTTCAATACACACCCTCTTCCCTTGCTCTTTTATTTTTTTCTCCTTAATTCTACTCTTTCTAACTCATTCTGTTCCCTTAGCTTGCCTATTATCTGTGGGCCCCACTGAATGCAAGCTCCATGAGGGCTGAGATTTTTTTGTTTTCTTCATTCCCATATCCCCAAAACCTAGAACAATGCCTGGCACCTAGTCGGTGTTGAATAAATACTTGGGGAATAATGGAACGATGTGTGATATGTTGTTCTGATTTTCTTCCTCTAAAGCCTGACTTCCTCTAAATGGCCAAATAGGGTTCATAACTATCGTATTAGAGTGAATAGTCACCTGCCTCCTTGCTGAGAAATCATGAAAGGATGGGATGAGGAATGACATCCTACAGGTAGAAAATGCTCCTTGACCTCATCATCATTCATCATCAAAAGTAAGTTCTTGAACAATAAATGAGGCATTTTTTTCTTTATTACATAGAGGACATGGTAGCGATATTGGCTGACCCAGTCCGAGGAAATGGCAGGAATGTTTGTGGAAGGGCTGCTGGACTCCCCATTCACCTTGCTGGGTCCCCTGAGCCAGTCAGAAAAACCCCAGGTTGGTGTGAAGAGAAGTCACTCACACCTACTTGTGACTGGAGCTGTCACCCATGGTCAGGAGTTGCTGGAAGTTGAATTTGTCCTGACCTGGAAGGCAGGCAGCATGCTGCTGAGCTCAGGCCACGTGGAAAGGAGCCCTGAGAAAGGATCTGTTCAGTGTCGGTGAATTCATCAAGACCTCATTTCGCATCTGAGGAGGACATTGCTACTTTCCTGTTAAAACAGAGGCATCCCTGAGGAAGTAATGCCAGGATGCTGTTCCTCAGAGCAAGGATGAAAACCTGTGAATTGGATAAGGACTATTTATGTATGCATGATTCTGAATGAGAAAGAATTTTGTTAACATTTGGGGGGTGTCCTTCAGCAGAATAAGGACAAGCTAAGGGAAGTAGAAATATATTATTACACAGATCACTCTACACAGACAACACCCAATGCAGACACAAAAAGACAATGATGATCTTTGCCAATGATGATCTGTTCCGTTCTCCTCTCTTACACATTCTGAGGTTTAAATCCTGGACTTAAACTGTTCTCATTCATCCTATTTGGTTGGCAAACCCACCCAAAACCCAATGTTTGTGTGTTTGTTGCTTTGAAAGGAATGAGATGGGGAAGGCATGTCTGAGCTTAGTGAACGGAGCTGGTCTTGGCTCTCCAGTCTCTGGGGTCTATGGACATTCTCTGCTCCTTTGGGAAACAAGGCAATTCAGACCACTCTTTTCCAAGCTTCTCTTAATTGCTGTGATTCTTGCTATAAACAGTTCCTGAGACTTACCATCTATCCTAGGGTCTTTCCTAATTAACTCTAATATTTTCTAGAAATCACTTCCCTTCTAGAATGAACTGATAATGGTTTGTCACAGAACTAAGTTGCATATCATTGATTGAGAATGATGTTTCGTCTCCTAGATCAGGTCTGGAGACATACGTCCTAGGAAAACTCTCAAATACAGAAGAAGTTTCCATCTGTACCTGCATGAAATGTATTTATTTTTTGCAAAGAGAAGAACTGCTCTTAAGTCCCTGTGTAATGTACCAGTTACTTCAACATAATACCCTTCTAAATTGCAAACACATTATCATTTTTCTTGTGGATCATTGTTTGAACCTAGTCAGTATCATTTTGATATCAGGAATAACCAGTCTGTCTGCCAGGGGAAGTCACAAAGATTTCAAGATTGTTACAGCACTATGAGTAAGTCCTGGTATGTTGCCTTTGCATCCACAGAGGAGCACTTTCATTTATTAATTTATTTATATTAGAATTATTAATATACTCCAGAGTTAATAGCCCGAGATTGATAGAAGCCACTTGGAGGGAAAACTAATGCAGCAACAGAAAACCAAATACTACATGTTCTCATTTATCAGTGAGAGCTAAACACTGAGTACATATGGACACAAAGAAGGGAATAACAACGGGGAAGGAGAATAACAGAAAACTCCCTGTGGAGAACTATGCTTATTGCCTGGGTGATGAAATAATCTGTACACCAAACCCTGTTAACATGCAGTCTACCTACATAACAAACCTGCCCATGTACCCCCTGAACCTACAATTAAACTTTAAAAGTGAAGGGCCAGGCGTGGTGGCTCATGCCTGTAATCCCAGCACTTTGGGAGGCCGAGGCAGGTGGATCACCTGAGCTCAGGAGTTTGAGGCCAGCCTGGCCAACATGGTGAAACCCCATCTCTACTAAAAATACAAAAAATGAGCCAGGCATGGTGGTGGGCACCTGTAATCCCAGCTACTTGAGAGGCTGAAGCAGGCGAATGACTTGAACCCGGGAGGTGGAGGTTGCAGTGAGCCACTGCACTCCAGCATGGGTAACAGAGTGATAGTCAGTCTCAGAAAATAAAGAAAAAATAAATACCTGGTCATTAAAACTCTGTGGCTAATAGCATGCCTTATATACTCGGGGAAGAAAAGGGAAACCACTCGGAGAGGATGGTGCAGTGTTATCAGTTCGGTCCTGGAAATCATCATGATCTCAAAATTTGCCAAGCTCTGTCATTAAGTGGCCGCTGGTCTGCCATCATCAGGGAAGCGTAGCAGCTTGCGTTGGTTTGGCCAATTGATTGAGATCCAGTTCTAATGTCATCCTTATAAATGTCTCCGTCGGGAGAGGGTGCTTGGGTTTGCTGGACAGCAGTCCTTGCTCCTTCTCTAAGTAATAAAACTTTCTGGATTTCTGGCATGCTTATACCTTAATAATCCTTGCTGCCTCAAGACATGGGAAAATGCATTTGTAAAAAGTGAGACACTCTGTGTATGTTGGATAACACTGGCTGCTTTGGGAATCAAACCCCAAATGCTCAGTGGGTTACCATATTAGCGTGTTTTCCGTCTGGATGAGGCCCTGAGGCTCTAGGCTGCAGGTGGCTTCCCTCCATACAGTGAGTTAGGACCAGATGCCATGCCTGACTCCTCCGTCTCCTAAAACCGTGGGATACCCTAATCTCAGCTGGCAGATGGGGAAAGAAAGGATATGAAGAAGTAATACTCACTTAAATACCATCAGCCAAAAGTGACCTATATCACTTTTGCTCATGTTCCAGTGCCAAGAATTAGTCATGCAGCCCACCCAGGTGCATGGGGGCTGGGCAGCCCTTCTAGAGCACAGAAGGGGAGCATAACTTTGCTGGGGAGTTGGCTGACCCTGCCACACCCGGTTGTAGCCCTGGAATTTAGAGGCAAGGGTAAGATCTGCATTTCTGGATCACCTCCATTCTCTTACAACTGTGCTGGAGGAAGACAGTGATTTGACCTTTGTAGACCCGAATGCCAATATCAGCAGGCCCTGCCCTACAGTGGACCCATGTGTCCTTGGAAGCATGGAATTAATAAACACCATCATTCATACTCTTTCCTTCTTTGCACTTTCCAGCAAGGACATTGTTATATGTTTGTATTACAAGCTACAGTCCCTAAGAATTCTCTCTTCATTGCGTCATTTCACCCAGAACTATTAATAATGTCTTTCATGAGACTCTGCCTGAACTTGTTGATTTGAAAACCATCAAAAGATCATTTCTTTTTTGATAAAGCCCTTCTTCATCAGTCACGTTGGCACTATACAGGAATAGATGTCGGGATAGAACTGAATGTGCCTCGCTTGACACTGCATATCTGACTTTGTTGATATGCATTGCTCATTGAGACCACCAGTGAACACCTGGGTGGATGTGGCCAGTGGGTGCCTTCTTGTGGGCACAAGAAGGGCAGGCAAAGCCGTTCCGTGCCCTGCAACTTACTGTTCTGGGCTCTCCTTTCTCAGGTACCCATTTCCCATGGTGTTCAGCAGTTGCAGCAGGAAGGACTTGGAGACCAGCCTGGAGAAAGGAATGGGAATGTGCCTCTTTAACCTGCCGGAAGTCAGGGAGTCTTTCGGGGGCCGGAAGTGCGGGAACGGATTTGTGGAAGAAGGAGAGCAGTGTGACTGCGGGGAGCCGGAGGTAAGAACCATCCCCAGAACAAGGACACAAGAAGCCTTGTATCCTCAGCTAGGCAAAGAAGACAGGACTTGGAGGAACTGTACAGCCAGATGAAAGTACTAGACCTCAGGAAGGAAGAGTCCTATCTGGCCACCCTGAACAAGGCCCACGAGCTAGGGTGGCTTTCTTGAATTTTAACCATTGCATGGAATAAGTGATCACTTGATTTAAAAAGATAAATAATCCTATCGAAGGGTACGACATTCTCAGCAAGATGAGGACAAAAACAATACAAAAGCGTTTAGCTTTGAGTTTGGTAGAGAAGAAAGCCCTGGAATTCTAGCTTCAAACAGCTAATAAGCACCATTTCTTTCTCTTTGTAAGGTGTGCTACCAGAGGGGAATCTGAATAAGCAGCATTCATTTTTAACCAAGAGCCTCCTCTCCAGTTGAAATTCTGCCTTGCTGCGGCACACGCCTCTGTATATACAACTTGAGGCTTCTGTCTCTCATGCTTGTAGCTTTCAGAAGCAATAAGTGAAGGCAGGGAACATTTTTATCTAGCACAGAGCTTATTTAACCCTATTTTCCAGCCAATATCAAGAAATGTCCTTGTTTTAATAGGGCCCAAGATAATCAATATAAAAATTATAAAAGCCACTTTTTCATATCTGAATAATCTCAAGAAGGAAAGACAGAAGACAGCATGAGGCCTCCTGGTAAAACAGGTGCCCTTTCGAAGTCTGGAGGAGGTTGTGTTTAGAATAAATCAAAGCAAGCCGTTGTATAGCAAGCAGTCTCCATGCGGGATTCCCTCCCTGAGAGTTTATGCAAGCTGAAATAGTAGACAAGTTCAAGGCAGACTTAGCTAAATTCACAGATGGACTTAATGAGAGCTTAGGAGGGGAATCTCCAAGGGCTGCTCTGAAAGAGGGAGTTTAGGGTGGAGAAGAAATCGTGCTGAGACTCTGGAGCATCCGGTATATTCCTGTGTTCATCAAATAAACAACTGGCAAACAGAATGTTCATCATATCCCCATCTTCAAGTCTCTGAGGTTTTCCATACCAGGAGGAATGAGCTTGGTCTGACAGTTTCTGCAAGAATGTTGGAAGTGTGTAAGTATTGGGTGGGAGTAAGGGGGGATGTGATGTAGAAGTGGTTTCTTCACATGTTTTTATGTCCTTGCCAAACTCAGAACTTAACCATGATACTGACATTGTCTGGAGGGGTGTTTAGTTTTGCTCACAATGAGCAGGGAATGGTTGCTGTGTAGGAGCAAGTCCTAATTATAGTGTTACAGAAACTCTTCTCAAGATTAACAGAGGAAAACTTAAAACCATCACGGGTTGGGGTATGCAAAGGGGAAATTCCTTGTAGGCCTTGTTAATTTCTTAAAGGAAAAAATGAATTAGTTTAAATTACTCATATTTCTCAGGAGAGACCATGTTGGCTTAAAATGGTTTGTCTTTGATTTGAACTTCTTATGATTGTTTGTTCATCTAAATAAATTTGACAGCTCTTCATGAAGCCATGAACTCTCGGGTTTGGAATGATTTTGTTAGCAGTCATTTTACTCCATATGCCACCAGCAGCAGCCACATCACTTTACCATCTCCACAATCACCACCACCACCTCTTCCACCCAACAGCATCACCATTTCTCTCATGACCATCATCACCATATCACTGCCACTACCGCCACCATCATCACTACCGCCCTCACCATCACCCCACTCTTATAACCACTGCCATCTCCACAGCTACGGCCACCACCACGGCCACACCAGATCCACATCACTACCAGCATCACTGCTACCATCCCCACCCCTATCATTATCCCCACCACCACCATCACATCGGTAAATGCATGAGTGCCTAAAATGTGCCAGCCACTCATATTCTGATCCTCTCTCTTTTCTCCATGAAGGAGTCATGTGGCTCGACAGGGTGCTGTCCCTCCAGGTGGCATGTTGCATTATAGGGTAGCTTTGATTACTACAAACTCCCTCCTTGCGAAGCCAAGCTCCGCTTGCATGCAGTTACCAACTTTGTATTTCTGTGGCTAAGGTCCTTATTTTATAGGATAACTTCTTGATATTTGAAGATAGCCCTCATTCCCCTCATCCAAAGTTCTCTCTTTGAAAGTTCCAGGTGAGCCTTTTGCCTCACTTTTTAGATTTGCTTTTTATTATTATTATTATTATTATTATTATTTTGCTTTTCAAAAAATAGTTTCAAGTAGTTATTATTTGAAAATAATAGTTTCAAGGTTCAAACTCAAATTGTGTTTGGCAGTGTGACAACCCATTTACAGTTTCCAAACTGCTTTGCCTAAGAATTTTAGGCAAAAAGACTTGTTAACCTAGGTTCTTTATCCCACTACCCAGTGCTCAGGCCCTGGAGTATTCTGCATGCCCTTGCATCAGATTGACCTGGCCATTCCCTGGCCAATAGAGGGACCCAGTGTGTTACCACATCAAGGAAGGAGTGGATGGGATCCGAAAAACTTCTGCCATCACCCAATGGAAACCAGCTTCTCCCTTGCTCCCGGAAATGATCTCCATTATTTACAAGAAGATGGCTTCTAGTCTTCTCCCAGTTCATTGTGATTAAGAATCTGTCTGCTACCTACAACCTGAGAATGACAATTAGGGCTTTGCAGAGAATTCTCTAATGCTTTCATTATTCTGTCTTCTTTGGAGACTTGGTATTCATTGGCTCTGTTGGACTTCTCTATTGAGGACTAAAATAATAAATGTAGCAGCAGATGAAGAATGTGTCTCTTCTGAGAAATATGGTACTGCAGAAGAAATAGATCCTGGGTGGTTTAAAGACAGGTTGATTGCTGAAGCCTTCCCGGACAGGGCATTGGATTTATATCAACATAAGGAAATCCTGACAACTCACTCATTCTTCCAGCTAACAGGATTGGGAAAGCAGCCTTATCTCTTTGTTTAAAGTCAATAGGATGCCAGTAGCTTGTGAATATCTTTTAAACTTAGTTATCTTTCTCACATTATCATCCCCTTTGAAGTCAGAGCCATTTGGCTTGGCTGCATTTCCATGTGAGCTGCTGCTTATATTATTGGGTGATTTGAGAGAGGGGGGAATATATTTCTTAAAGAATTTTAGGACCCAGATTTAGGATGGCTGATTTAACATGGAATTTCAAGAAAACTTATAATTTGGTAAATGTGTCATTCGTAGAGCCATTTAGACCATAAGGCCCAGGATAGCATTGGTGTGCATTTGATGACTCTGATTTAAAAGTGCAATTAATGGACTACTTTTCTTTAAAAAAGTTCCTAAACTCTTTTGGAATTATAAGTCCACAGGTTAGAAACCCTTACTGTCATAAAAGTTACAGCTATGACTTCTGGTTGACAGTTTTATCTTATTGTATATATTATACATTCTAGATGTTTATAAAGTCCTCAAGCAAATTTAACATTTAATAACTTTGGAAGTCTGTATAATAGAAGCAAATGGAACATCAAATGAGAGCATAATTCATGGAGTTTTACATGGGATATAGTTTCAGTATCTAGGTTTGCCATAAATCTTCTGGATTATTGACAAAATTGTATTAATTGCATTTATAAAACTTAATCCATTCAAGAAAGATGGTTTTCAGGAGTAAAGTATTATATTATTAAACTAGTATGTGATTAGCTTCACCCCAGCCATTAGTATAGAAATTTTTCAGAGCATATCATATATTGGATAAAATAAAAGAACAGTGATAAATTACTCAGTATTAAAGATCTATGAATTGTTTCATCTTATGATAATTACATTTCTTCTAAAATGTGTAAACTCCAGGTTACTGGAATGTTCTCAAGTACAAGGACTTTACTTGATAAATGTATGCAGGCCTTTTGTTGAGAACTAAGCAAAAAATGTCAATCTCTTGTTTTTGTTAGGAAAAAATGGAAACAATGGGTACTTGGGGAGTACAGCATTATAAAGGAGTTAGTTTCTTTTCTCATTTTTGTTTCAGAGAGGACAATACATCTAATGCTTGATCTATCCATTTAAGTCCCTTGCAAATCAATGGACACGGCCCGTAGTCCTCCTTCCGGCCAGTGGGTTGTTATAATGTCCTAATGTCCATTTCTGACTTTCCAAGTGATGGAATCGTCAGGCCAAACAACTTACCTGGGCGGCTCAAGGGTCTTCTCCACGACCCTGGTGGGATTGCAGGGAATTGTGGTTGAAACCATTGGTTTGACTTCTTTTCCTGCCAGTGCTCTCTAGATCAAAAAGGGTTCATTTTTGAAGAGTACAGATTGTACGCATCTATGTATATTTTTGATTAGGTAATTTCAAAGTCCTCGAGGGATCCTGATGCAGTTCATTGCAAGGAGATCCACCTGGACACCCCTCTACAGAGTCCCAGTGTACTACTGCTGACTAGAGTGATGTCCCCGGCCCGCCAGCCTATGTCACAACTGCTCTACCTTTCACGAGGGCACTTGTGTGCTACTGGCTTTTTCCAGGGACTTGTAGACCCAGTTGGTTCATAAACAGCAGAAGCTTTGCTTTCCTAACAGACAGAAACAGGCAGGTGTGCAGTTCAGGAGCTGGGCCCTCTTAGTCTTTCTTGCTTTTCACAGCCATTTGAGGTGTGATGTTTGCATTCAGTGAGTGCATACTCCCTAAGACCCTGTCAAACAAATCCCATTCCCCTCTCCAGGAATGTATGAATCGCTGCTGCAATGCCACCACCTGTACCCTGAAGCCAGACGCTGTGTGCGCACATGGGCTGTGCTGTGAAGACTGCCAGGTGAGTCACTGGAGCTGCAACTTGACCCCCAGGTCGCCAACAGGTTCAGGTGGTTCAGATGTGATGCAGGGCAAGCAGTGCGGCTGGAAGGTTTCCCAGCACTCACCACAGCACGCACCATCCCTCCTTCTCACGCCAGTTGGTGTTACCCACCTCTTATTGTGTATCTTCCAATCTTGGGGTGAAATGCACGCTTTAATTGCCACTCACTTGTGTTTATTTATTTAGTGGCTGACAATTCGTCAGACCGGTAAACCCTAGTTCAACTTTCAATGTTCCATTTGTGCCGTCAGAGGCACATGCAGTCCTACTGTGCTGACAAGAGCAAGGCGAAAACAAGTCCCCACCACTGTCACTCAGGTTCCCCCAGGTCCACCTTCTCCATCCCGCGAACACCTGCCTGCTGGGTTGTCCCAGAAGTTTTGTATAAACAACTCAATCTTATAACGTCCTCCCAAAAGAAGGTGCCACCAACCCTGCCCAGCCAAGAATGGCAGTTTTATGCTCTCGCCATTGCTGCTAGCTAGGACTGCGTTTCTTTTGGCGGTTCCATTGTCTCATTATTCAAAGCTGATATCTGACAGAGTAGAAGCCTGAACTTTTGATTCGGCAGTTCCAAGGGTAGAGTTTTATTTCATTTTAATTAAGCAATTGATCCCGACATTCCGCTTACAGGAAACTCCCTCTTAGCCGCCCCACGTGAGCGCGGTGATTTAGAAGTGCATTGTAACATTTAATGTTCCGCTTTAAAATAGCCTTCATCCTCTTCCTAATGCTGATTAACTTCTGGGGGATGTTACAAGCAGCTGTCTCTCCCTGGCCCCCAGTAACTGGTGGAGGAAGGTGCCTGGAAGGGAGTTGGGGGAAGGGGGGAAGCAAGTCTGAGCCTGTGCCCAGAGGATGCCCAAGTTAGGGGAGGGAGGACCACAAGGCCATGCCTGATTGTGGTTCACTTTTAGGTTATGACTTTTTTAACAATTGCTTTCAACTTTCAGATCTTCTAGAAGTTAGCAGGGGTCTTATCCCTTTGCGTTTGAGGAGTATGCAGGGAACTAAACCCAGGACTTGCAGGGTCCCTAGCCATGTAGTCTCAGACAGGCTACTCTGAGTCTTAATTTCTTCAACCACAAAAAGCTGAGTCATTGGTCAGATGGCTTCTTTTTTTTTCTTTTTTTTTTCTTTGAGACGGACTGTCGCTCTGTCGCCCAGGCTGGAGTGCAGTGGTGTGATCTCGGCTCACTGCAAGCTCCACCTCCCAGGTTCACGCCATTCTCCTGCCTTAGCCTCCTGTGTAGCTGGGACTACAGATGCCCACCACCACGCCTGGCTAATTTTTTGTATCTTTAGTAGAGATGAGGTTTCACCATGTTAGCCAGGATGGTCTCGATCTCCTGACCTCATGATCTGCCTGCCTCGGCCTCCCAAAGTGCTGGGATTATAGGCGTGAGCCACCGTGGTTAGATGGCTTCTAACATCCTTTACCTCTCCCTTGTTCTTCCCCTGTTCTTTCCATAAAGCAGTAAAGAGAGAGTTCCAGTTGTACGATTTGATGACAAAGTAAAATTGCTATTGTGATTCTGCCCTTAAAGTCATTTTTATTAACTTGCCCACAAATGCTAACACTATAAATGCAAATATCCCCTTGAAATGTGTGATGATGTTGACACCCAGAGACCTTTTCCTTAAGAATCAACCAGCCCAGCAGCCAACGCTCCCCTCCTCCTTCCTCCTCTGAGGTGCCAAGTGCCGGCAGGCAGCTTGCGTGTTCCTCGGAGAGCCCTAATGTTGCATGACATTAAAGAGAGGCTGCTCTTGGTTGTCCCACCCACTTTATAGTGGAACAGTGAACCCCAGAGTGAGAATCTGATGATTTAATGAGCTCTCTCTACATTAGAAGTGACTTCCTTTGAAATCCTCACAACTTTATGTGGGACTTTAAGATGCCCTTGTCTGCTCCAGCCCAGGAGAGCTGCTGAGAGCTGCCCCTCCCTTTCCCCGGGTGCATGTGCCATAAATGGCCCTCTCCTTCCAGCTGAAGCCTGCAGGAACGGCATGCAGGGACTCCAGCAACTCCTGTGACCTCCCGGAGTTCTGCACAGGGGCCAGCCCTCACTGCCCAGCCAATGTGTACCTGCACGACGGGCACCCATGTCAGGGTGTGGATGGCTACTGCTACAATGGCATCTGCCAGACTCATGAGCAGCAGTGTGTCACGCTCTGGGGACCAGGTACGTGGCCACCACAAGCTTGGCCTCAGGAGAGGCGCTGGCAGACCCGGGATTGGGGGCGTGTGCTCTGTTCTGGCGAGCCTCCACTCCTGGCGGGCGCTGTCCACACAGCATCCAGTGTGTTCAGTCGGGAGTGATTGACTCCCAGGGAGGGGCTGGGGCGACACTGGGCATGGGGTGCACAAAAATGGGCGCTGTCTGGAGCCTGGCCTTCAGAAGCTCAATGCAGTCCGACAGGAGATGCAGGATCAGCTACTGTGTGCCCCAGGGGATGGCAGGGATGAATCCGCCATGACTCCTGCCCTCGGATAGCATAGCACGTAGTTGGACAGACAGAACTTTCCCACCACCACTGAGATTTTAGTAATGCCCCTTTGTACTCAAAAGAGGACCCCAACCAAGTGAGGGGCCCAGAGCTCCACTTGAAGCATGAGTGTGTCTGTAATTGGAAGGCCTGGGAACAGCAATGAGTGGCTCTCAAATGGGAAAGTGGGTGGTTGAGTCAAACAAGAGGCCATCGGTTCACCATGTCACCAGTTCAGGCTGGGCACTTGGCACATTTTGTCTCTTCTGACCCTCCAACAAGCCCCTGAGGTGGGGACTATGAAGTCTTACAGAAAATGATGCTCAAACTCTGAGACAAAATGTCAGTTTCCCCAGGTCTCCGGGCTAGGATTTGAACCTGGGTCACTGTGACCCAATGCCCATGTGATATTCCCACAATGCACAGTCACCCCGAAGAGGGAAGTCTTGCTCTAAAGCTCTACCAAAGCTCCAAAATGAAGCAGAAGCTCAGATGCAAAAGGGGGAAGAATTCATCCCCGGCGTCTCTCTCCTCCATGCCCCACCTTCTGGGGTCAGATCCAAGGCCTCATTGGGCAGCCCTGGACTCCAAGGCCCTGTCACCCCAGAACCATTTGAGATTCAATGCCTATGTCCAGCTCCCAGGAGTCCAACCATGAAATCCACAAATGCAGGCCCCACCCTCTCCTGCAGTTCTCTTTCCCTTATTGTAACGTGGCTGAGTCCTTTGTCACTCCCTCCTCCATTCTGCATGGCTGCAGAAATGACCTCAGCCATGGCCAGAGACCCCAGCTCTGGCAAGGCCGCTGTGGTCGGCCAGGTCCAGGCTGAAAGCCAAGCAGAATCAGGCAGGATCTCTAGGGAGAGGGAAACCTGATAGGACCTTTGTCAGACTTTTGTTGTGAGGCTTTGGTTTTAGGAGTGATGAGGGAAGTAAAGGGGAACAGGAAATGACAACTAAACCTTGAAGCTTGGGTTTTCAATGGAATGTGAAAGCCACGACCAGGCATGGAAAACAAGATGGATGTCTCTTGGAGCTGGGTCCTGCTGGGAGGCCCATGTCCCCTACCAACCAGCAATGCCCTCTGTACTTGGAGCTTTCTAAGGCAGAAGAAAGGGCAGCCTGGTAGCAAGGATGGATGAGCAGAGGCCTCTTTAGCTTGGCCTCTGAGGAGTTGTTCCGATGCTCCTCAGCACTCAAGGATGCATGTGGGCAGGTGGGATGGGGGGGGCCTGCAGTTCCTGGACCCTTAGTGCTTCATCTTTGGACCCTGAGCAGCCCTCAGTCCTGGCATCATTGCCTGCTGGGCCTTGGGGCCCCCTAGGCAAAGCAGGGGGCAGGAGCAGTGGAGGACACCCTGTTGCAATGACAAGAACTAAGCCAGGACTCGCTATATACATTGAATGGTGTTTCGGCTTGACATGGTTTAGTGACTTCAGGCACCTTTTAGCCAAGTGAGGTCACTTTGGGACTGCGGCTACTGCTGCAGGCCAGATCTTCATGGCTTCATGCATCCCTAGTGCCATCTCCTTCCCAGCCTTTCTCCAGAATCAGCAGTCTCCTTTTCTTGAGTTACAAGGGCCGTGATGAAGTTCCTTTCCAAAAAGCATTTTGTGGCCAGAGCACACACAGCACTTGGAGCTTTGGGAGTGAAATATGTTCCTTAATGCCCTGCCATTTTCGAACAGCTGGCCCCGTTTCCAGAGTGAGGTCAGATGGAACTCGACAGTGCTGTCTGAGCCACCCCCAGTGTGTGACTCAGCTGGCTGTGTGCCTCTGATTCATGGTGACCAAGGCTGGTATTTATTATCTCATCAAACTAGTCCTTCTGCAGCTGCCTGACCAGAGAGAGAACCAGACAGGCAGACAGACTGATAACCTGACCCACAGACTGACAGCCTGACCCACAGACTGGTCAGCTGCCTGACCAGAGAGAGAACCAGACAGGCAGGCAGACTGACAACCTGACCCACAGACTGACAACCTGACCCACAGACTGAGTTTTTCAAAAGCAAGAGCAATAGGAAGTCACCTGCGTGGGCTCTCATCATCCCTACGATGGAGCGAGAGGCTGGAGGTCTGAGTACCCGGGTAGCCACATCTTCTTCCTAAGGAGGGGGCTTCCCTAGGAGCTCCTGGCTTAGCTCTGCTCTCTCCCATCCACTCTCCCTGGTAACTAGGAGGCCTTTGCTGGGGTGGTGGTGGGTGTGGCCACTGCACACAGCATGGAACATCCATGGCGTCAGGACTATTGGTAACAAACGTGTTTTGGTGAAGAGGCTTTACTTTTGAGGAGATGGCTCAGTGTTCCTGGAAGCCATAACACAGAGACCAGGCTTGGGGAGCCACCTTGGACTTGTGACTTTCTGGGTTTTGGTCAGTCCTGCCCGCCCCTTCTCAGTTCTTCAGATCATTATACAGACTTCATCAGGAGAGCAGAGAGCAGGGAAAGCCCTTGATGCCAGGGAGCTCTTAGAATGGGCCTTTGACCACCTCCTTCGGAAATGCAGTGTGCTCCTTCCTCCCCTTGTCACTGTTTCCACCTGGTTTCCAGTTTACAGGCCCTGTGTGAGTTTCCCATGGCTGCTGTAACAAATTAGCACAAACTTAATGGCTTACAAATGCTTCATCTTACAGTTCTAGAGGTCAGAAATCCTGAAATTAAGATAACTGGCAAGGCAGCATTACTTTGGGAGGCTCTGGGGAGCATCCGTTTCCTTGCCTTTCCCAACTTTTAGAGGCCACTTGCATTTCTTGGCTCATGGCCCCTTCCTCCATCTTCAAGGCCAACAGCACAGCATCTGCAAATCTCTGTCTCTCTCTGACTTCTGCTTCTGTAGTCACATCCCTTTCTCCGACACTGACTCTCCTGCCTTCCTCTCATGAGGGCCCCTATGATTCTATCAGGCTTACTCAGATTGTCCAGGGTGATCTTCCCACCTCAAGATCCTAAAAGTAATCACATCTTCAAAGTCCCTTTTGCCATGTCAGATAACATGTGCATAGGTTTTAGATAAGGATGTGGGCGATTTGGGGGAGCCACAAGCATTGAACAGACCACTTACTAGCAAGGGACCTTCTGCAAATTGCTCAACCTTGTTGTGCCTCATCTGTAAAATGAGGATAGTGATCTACCTACCCCAAGGGTCTGTTGTCCTCTAACATAGCCTATGATCTATTCCATGTAATGTATGTGGTTCTATGCTAGATGCAGAGCTCCTAGTAAATCTAAACTCTATAAATAAGGTGAAGCTGCACTCCCAGGAAGCTTAGACTAGTGAGCAAGATACTCAAATCCCTGGGGTCTGTAAAATGGGGTATAAGAGGGTCATAGGCCAGATATGTTGGGGTAGAGGAAAGCAGCCAGCTCAGAGGCTTTGAAGACAAGGTTGCCATGGAATCATGGTTTGCCAGGGGTGGAAGAAGAGGGATATTTCCAGTATACAGAATAGCACAGCTCAGGGCACACAGGGACAGTGGGGCCAACCAGGGCAAGTTCCGGTAGTTCTGTGTGTGTAGAGCTTGGGCTGTGACTTGGAAGAGCAGACATCCTCATCTGCCACACCATTCTCTCATTTGTCAAGTATTTGTTGACGTCCTGCTCTGTGTAAGATGCTGACTCAAGAGCCCCGACTCTGCCAGAGTGACACACTTCCCACAGCCCCTGCGCACTCCTGCCTGGATCTGGAGGGGAGCGCGGATGTGAAGCCATCACAATATCCTCCCGGGAGGCATGGATCCCGGACAAACGCAGTCCTGGGAGCGGAGGTGACTTCCTCAGCCAGGCCCCTGGCCAGCCAGATATACCATTGAGAATATTTCAATGCTTTGTTATAGTGGTTGGTTTGAATTAGCTTTTCGTGATTCAGAAAGGAAAACTTATTGTCAAGTTTGCATTTGCAGTATTTCCCCACCCAGGAGCAAATGCTTCAGGATCTGGATCACGTGTGCACTGGGGTCATCGTAGGCCTCCTGGGAAACGCAGGAACTCAGAGCTCCAGGAGCCCTTGAGTCCTTGAATCCTTGCCCCACCGGCCCTTGACATTTGCACCCCAGTGACCTGGCTGAGTTGCTGAGTTGTCCAGAATTCTCCAGTTATATTCAGGATGTCCATTACTCACCCTCCAGATCTGGCGACCCAAACACTAACTGGATGAAGCCCTTCCTTCCAAATAATGATTCCCTTTTGAAATGGGCTTTTCTCAATCTGGCATTCTATTTCAATAAAATAATCCTGCTTCCAAATCTTTCTACAAATAAAGCAATAGAAAATTCAAAACACATGCCTGCAACTTCTAACTGGCAAAGGAATACACTTTGAGAATGCCTTTTGGGTTTTTTGTTCATTTATCTGTTGTTCTAATTGTTTTTGTTGTTGATAATGTACGTTCTCGTTGGCTAGGAGTATAATTTTTTTCTCACTGATTTTTGTCTCACAAATCTTGTATCTCAAGACTTCCTATGTTGATTTCAAACACACAAATGTTATTCACAGTTCAAACTGCGTGGTTGGCGTTTAGCTCTCTTTGCCCGGTTTAGTCTTAGTATCTACAAAGATTTTCTGTCAATATGACATGACCTTTACTCCTTCTGAAATGTAGCTGGATATGTTTCTTTAGGTAGCAAATTTACTTCTACCAATGTTGTTTGTCAGAACCACTAGCATGGTTACTGAAAATATTCCTTAGCAATTAAT